GGATCCCCTGCAATCTCGTGTGGAGCTCGCCAAAGGCCACCTGAACGGTTAGATCCTCCAGCACTCGCGGTCTCTGCAGCACCGTGAGAGATTTCACCCCACACTCACAGGTCACTGACTTCACTCCTGTGCGCTTGTATAAACAGTGCTGGTGCCTTTTCCCCTGCTTCCATGCTGAGGGGAAATTCAAGGAAGTGGCTCCTCATCTGACTGACGATGTACAAGATAGAGCTGGAGGAAATGGTGTCTTTCCGTCGATCAAAGACAATTCAGCTCTGGTTTGGCCAGCCCCTGATGTCCAGCCAGGCTTGTGTTCCGGACACACGGAGATCCAGTGACTTTCCGTCGATCAAAGACAATTCAGCTCTGGTTTGGCCAGCCCCTGATGTCCAGCCAGGCTTGTGCTCCGGACACACGGAGATCCACAATCTGTGGGGATGCAGCCTTTTGCTTAAATTAGTGGGAAAATAATTGCAGAAAACCAGAGTGGTCTGACTGAAAGGACCAAGTGTTTCCCTTCTCCTCAGACTCTGGATATCTAAACGCTACAGACTGACCTAAATACAAATGTTTGGTGCTTTAATGGGGCAATAATTCAAACACAGCATATGTGAGGCATGGGGGGAGCCATTGATTTTTCAACCGTATTTGATGGAACAACATGGCGGACAGGACAGGTGCATTTATCACATGGGAAGATTTAAAATAGAACGTTTACCATCTGTGCTTGAAGGTTGGCTGAATGTTAACACTTCTCTCTGAATAAGTGATGCGTGTGCGAGTAAAGAATGTTCAATGTGATTTTGGTCCTAGCAGAGAGTGTTTAATATCTGTGTATGTAACAGGGGGTGTAGTTCAGAGGGTTAGAGATCTGTGCTTGCACTTGGAGGGTTGTCTTCTGTGTCCAGTAGAGTCATTGTGTCACCTTGAGTAAGACGCTTAACCTCCACCACTCCAGCAACGGTGCTTAACTCTTCTCTTTCAGCCTTTTATTGCTCGCATGTCAACAAAAACATCCACTAAATGTAATGAATTCTGTGTATCTGGGGTTTGAGTGTATGGACTATCCTAAAATACCACATATCAGCATTAGATCCAGCGTCCTCACGCTGTCGTCTCTAACTGTGACCAGGTGTGGTTCCCACAGTGTGGCTGCTACCTTACAGTTTAGACCCTGTTTCACTTTAATTGCACCTTTCTGGTTGCCACCGTCTTTGATCTGGTAGTAGCACTTTGCGTGACTGCATGTGTATTTTTTTTTTATAATTTAGGCGAGCATAAAGTCGGAGCATGAACCAGCCTGCTGTGTTGTCAGTGCTCTTTGTCATCTGATCTTCAAGTGCGCACAGTTATATTTTACAGTTATATTTTCAGTTTCAGTTTATCCTAATTAGCGAGGATCCCTGCCTTGCCATGAGCGCAGCCTTGGTCAGGTTTCTGCTGTGTTAAGCACACAAGCTGTTTCTGCAGGCAGCGCAACAAGCAGAGCGTCACACTAATCCTGCATAAGTCATGGGTTCAAATCCCAAGGGTCACACATATATTACACTCAGTACTGTAAGTCGCTTTGGATAAAAATGTCAAATAAAATGAGTGAGTGAAATCAAGTGTGAGCTACTCCATCCAAGAAAAGCACACTAAACGCGAAATATAATGAATTCAGTCTTCTCTCTCAACATCTGAGGCAGAGTGACGTGTCTTACTGTCAAAGGTCTGCACACATTACTATGACAGGATTTATTCCACTTCAAAATAAAATATGTTGAGAAAGATTAAGAAATGAATGTAAATTGTGTGCCTGTAACTCTCAGGTGTGCTGTGTTTGCCGGGAGTTCGCAGAGGGATTTTAACCAGGAATACGCAGATTAACCAGATTAGGTGCTTAAAATTCTCTCTCTCTCTCTCTCTCTCTCTCTCTCGCTCTCATTCATTCTCCTTGAATAAAAAGGTGAGGCATTAGTGTTTCTTATCAGAGGAATTTTATTTCATTTCAGAGGTTTTTGATATTTAAGCTGGATTACGTACAGTTAAATGATGACCCATGATGCATACTTCTTCTTTGCCATGAACTGTGACTTGTTTCAGGTCACTGTTTACGCAAGTCTGTCCAGGAATGTGTTTGGTGAATTCATCATGGCTGCATGGATTCACAGGCACTACGAAAGCAGGCAAAATTTACCAAGTTAAACGTGGTGATGATGATGACGATGACAGCGATGAAGGCTACTAAAAAATAAAATGTACAGCCTTACATTCCATTCTTTTCATACGCCATCTGTGCAGACGCCTTCCATGGTTCTGTGTGCGCCGTGTGTAAATGATTTAAAAAAAGAGATTTTAGGTGAGGATTTTGGAATGATACGGGGTTGATTTCAGTCCGACACCACTGTCATCAGAAGGGTTATGTAACATGGCGGTTTTGTCCTCCATTACGCCATGTGTGGCCCGCTGTTCAGCTCAGCCTGTTGCAGTCTGTATTACTATGGGGGTAGTGAATCTGTCACAGAGCGAGGGGGTCTGGAAGATTGGCTGTGACCCCTGGTGACCTTGGTGGTGCTACAGGTCAACGTTGTGGGACCCCCACCTCAGACAAATGGTGTCTCTCTAAACGTCACGTCCGCGGTGCTGAAATGCGCTGTATGGCCAGCGTCACCTGATAAATGCTCATGTCACTCCAGGTGTGACCGCCATTCGTCAGCGGGGGAAGAGATATTGGATTCATAATGAAACAAATGTAATGCTATTCCAAGTCAATGGGCTGTGATTCCAGGCGGCCTGGCGCCCTGCTGCCTTCTGGCATTTTGAGTCTTGTCTGAGGGACACCCCCAAAAGACCATCCTCTGCTAATGTTTTGTTCTAAGTGTCTTATCTAGCCTTGTCATCATGGTCGTTGTTTTAGGAAGCATCCTAGTCCGTTGAAGGACACGTCCCTTGTTGGCTCTTAAAACAGAAACACTCCCAGTTCTGTCATGGGCCAACGCAGATGTCCCCTGTGTTTGGGTCGAGCCGTGAGTCCATCTGCTTCATTATTTAAAAGAATAAGACCCAGCAGAAGTAGCTGGTGTTTAAATACAACTTTTGTAAATGAAAGCTATCTGATGTGGCTTAAGAAACGCAGTATTTATGTGATGAACTGTCCTGTGATGAACCTGCCCCGTGACGTGACATAAGCAGCCATTAGTTACTGATGCTCGGCTGTTGACCCCTGATCTTCCTGCCAGACGTCCATTAGAGATGCTTCTGTGACGATCTGTGCCTCAGGTTACCTGTAAGCTCTTTCATTTTGTACAGCACTCACAAGTTTGTTACAATTTTGAATCAACAGAGTTGCCAGTGAGCTCCGATACATTCTTATATAACGAATATAAAACATTTTAATAAAAAGACAAAATACCATTTCCTTTTAAATGTATATTTGAACAAAAGTGTTTTACATCATCAGTTTTAGTCTATTCTAGTACAAGTCCCCCCTTCCCCCCCATTGCGAATACCACACTTTGAACCTCTAGCTTGCCTTTGTATGTTGTACAGCACAGAGGGAAAGGCTGGACCGCAGAGATAGCTCTTTACACACTACTCTTTACATAATAACAGTCACTGATAGACATCAGCCTGCCATCCTGCCCTTTAGTCACTTAGTAAAGTGTAAATGTCCAGTAACCAAGGGTTAACAAACCCTGTCGGTTTTGTAGCAAAGCTACTCTCCTCACTCTTGGTAGAGGGGTGGCAAGGTATCCAGTGTCTATGTGTGTCTGCATGGCCTTCAAACATTGAACTGAATCCCGGCTTTCATAGAATGTCCACACCGAGGCAAAGAATGCGCCAATACAGTGTAGTCCGTTGAGACCCTTCTAGCACCCTGTCCATTACCTGGTGTTGTGGAGCCTCCTGATGTGATGAAAGATTTCTTATATGGCATTGTTTGTTACATCTATTACAGTGGCCCTCACCTCGACTGCAGAAGGCGTTCCTTTACCAGAAACCCACAGTCTTGTGAGGGGAGAGTAGAGCCCAAGGACAGGTGTCAGAGGGGCGTTTGATTGGGGTTTCCTTATACCCTTACAAAAGTGGTGCTTTCTCAAGGACGCATAAATAAGTGTGCAGGTCACCGAGGTTGCAACCAACAGCAAGCCATACATGGTAGCCACTGATGTGTCCCGGTTTTCATAGCTCTTGACCTCTAGCTCCATACTTTCGGTGGTGACGTTGATGCACTTCCTACTGGTTTTGTGATGGATGCTGGGAATGTCCACGCATACCTTGTACTGTGTGGAAGGATTTAAGCGTGTTAAGTTGTATGTGTTAATGTCAGATGGAACCCTTGCTTTGAATGCCAGAGCGGGATGATTGCCCTCTGATGTCGTTGACCACTTAATGTTGGGTGGCAGGCTGCCGTGGGAGGCTTTCCAAGACACCAGGATGGAGTTTGGCTGCACGGATTTGATGCTGATCTTCAGAGAGTCGTTGGCAGGCTGTGGGAAGTATCCATTGACCTGCACTGAGACCGCTTTAAGGTCTGCGCCAACAAGATTGTGAGCAACACAGGTGTATAGTCCAGCCTCTTGCTCTGTGAGGTCATAGATATCAAACGTGCCCTCCGGGTGCATGTAATACTTGATGGTACCAGTATCTGGCAAGATCCGGTCACCTGAGGGTGTGATCCAGTAGATATCAGGCTCTGGCTCCCCGAATGCCCGGCAGTGTAGTGAGAGCGATTCCCCATGGCGCGCACGGACCAGCGCTGGGAGGCTCCCAGGGGAGATGAGCGGTAGGCAGGTCTCTGTCATCTCTCGGAGGTGCACCTGCCGAACGTGCTGTCCCTCCAGCTCAGGTGGCTCCATGCAGAACAGGGATTCCGGCTCCATGAAGCGCACGCCGGTCCTATCCGTGCCCATCCAGCGGACCACACAGTCACAGCGGATGGGGTTGCTGTGTAGGCTCACCTCCCGAAGATTGGGCAGGGACTCCACAGTGACACGATGCAGGGCGCTCAAGGCATTGCTGTTAACCATGAGTGTCTCCAATCGAGGCAGCCTGTAGAATGCATTGGGGTGGATGTAGGACAGTTTGGGGTTGTTGGTTGCCTCTATTTTTGTTAGCTCTGGCAGGTTGCTGAGGGCAAAACTGTCAATAGACACCAGCTCGGGCATGCTGTTAATACCCAGCTCATTCAGGTGCGGCATATCCATAAAGTCCCCTCTCTGTATCCTCTGAATGGGGTTCTTGTTTAGATCCAGAAACTTCAGACTTGGGACCTTCTTGAGGGAACTGCGGGGCACCTTAGCAAACAGGTTGTCATAAAACGAGATGCTCTCCAAGCGATTAAGTCCGACCAGGGCGTCATCGGGTATATCCGACAGATTCATTCGGGCCAGGACCAGGCTGCGGAGGTTGATAAGTGGCTTAAAGTTCATTTCTTGAATGCGCATGATTGGGTTTTCGCCGATCATCAAAATTTCCAGTCCCAGCATAGCCTCAAACCACTGGCTGCTAATGGCCGTCAGCCAGTTGGAGTTGAGATGAAGCCGCAGCAGATTGCCCAGCCCCAGGAAGGCCCTGGGAGCAATGAAAGAGATCAGGTTGTGATTGATGTACAGCTCCTGGAGATTGTGGAGCCCAGCTAGGCAGCTGTCAGGGAGCACGCGGATAGAGTTTTCCTCCATGTGCAGGGACAATAGCTGGGGCAGGCTTCCGAGGTTAATGTCGCCCATCGCAGACAAATTGTTCTGAGATACATCTATCTCTGTGATGTTGGCCAGATAATCCAAGGGCCTTTCAATCCTGGCAATGTTGTTTGTCTGCAACAACAAGACCTGTGTGTCCATGGGCAGCCTCTCAGGCATAGAAATAAGTCTCAAGTCATTACAGTCCACAGTGGGAGTTTCCATGTATGTTGAGCTTGGAGAGAACCAGGGCCTGATCTCGCAAACGCATGGTCGAGGGCAGTCGACCTTCTCCTCAACAGAAGCAGCGTTTGCCAACGCCACAAAAACATAGATCCCCAGCAGCATATCCCTCATCTTGGTGCTCTTCCCTTGGTAATTAATTGTTCCTTAGGGAAATCTGCCTGTCAGGCTGCGCGTTGTGATGACACAGTGGTCCCTTGATGGGCCTTCCCGGAAGCTTCCTCCCTCCTGGCGTCGTGTTGTGCTGTCCCTGAATGGGAAGGGCCACCGACCCAGTACCTGGAATGGCGATATCAGACCCCTGAAGTGTGCCCAAAGTTGAGTGAATCCAGTCAAAGCCGCGGGTGGCTAAGGGTTACATGGAGGTTTCTGCGTCGGTACTTTATCTGGTGTCATCATTGTCCTCCATCTTTGTCATTTGTGTTCATTTCCATCTAGAGAAAAGAGATGGGAAAACTATGTAAATACAACCACGTAGAAACTGTACATATCAATTGAAATTTGACTTTACCCGACGTTCAGCTTCATACCTAGTTGATGCTTTCATCCAAAGGCATTTACTAGTCTAATGATTATGGGTGTTTGATTTCGTTAAGTGTGTAACTATGGAGGCATCGGCTGTGCTTCTCCCCTGGTTGTAACCAGCTGTATGACCATAGCATCTGTTCTACCTACTGGGCACTTTAGTAAATATAGTTTTGATTGATTGACTTTCAGTCCAAGGCTAAAATTTAATTGCTTTAAATTTGATACATCTGAACCACAGAAAGCAAGTACCTTGAGTTTAAAACCTTTTATTTAAGGAATGAAATGAAGTGGGTATAGTTTAGGTCTGTGAAGCAGCCATGTTCCCATGTGCTTGAATGCTGTAAATCCTGCCGGTAGAGCAGTCACATCCTGTGCCTTGGAACGGTTTGACAAAACCCTAAAGGAGTAATTCAGCATTTATGTCTATACTTGCTCTGAGATAGAATCGCTCTGCCCGGCTTGACCACAGTGGCAACCCACCGCAGCATGAGTCACAAATGAAAGGACTTAACCTTTGCACATTTGATGTAGCTCGTGCTCCGTTTACCTGAGCAGACTATGCTGGTGCTCTCAGCACAGGCTGCAATGAAACAATGAAACATCGGCAACCTAGCCGTCCACCGTCGTTTGGGTTAGCATGTGCTTTCCAGTTCATGGTCTCATACTTCCAGTTCCAATTAACATCATTTTGTTTTTATGTTTTTTTTAAAGTTAACATACTAAAATGGATATATAATCAATATGACATTTTGGTGAAAGAGTAAAAGCCATATTAGTGTGTTTATTTTATACAAAGTACACTGTGTTTCTGTAATCAGCGAATCGCACTCTTTCTGTTCATAGTCTCCAACCTAGGCTTTCCCAGAATGTCTGTTTCATCTTCCTGCAGTTACCTTCTGTTAATGAGTAATTCAGACTGGTTGACTCCAGGGAAATAGTTAAATATATGAGTTTGTTTGTTTTGTCAGCCTTCATTAGCTATGAAACCATCTGCTCTTAAGGGTCAAAGTAATTTTTTATATTTTTTTAAGGGGGAGGCCATTTTTGCTGCAACAAATTATGCGACAAAGCTTTGTCTTGTGCTCCTTTCTTATGACTTAGTGCGATGATTAAAATTGCAATAAAACCATAATTCTAAATCAGCAGAATAAAGGCGATGAAATGAATGTAGATTAGTATTTGGTTTCTAAAGGAAAAAGTCTGTTTAAATTTCCCAAAGATGCGATTGGTTGTTTCTTTCATCGTGGTGAGGGTATACATCACTCTGCAGGTCCATAATGGGCTTTATTATGCAGCTGTATGGCTGGCACTTGAGGAAAGTCAGCCGGCTCGGCGCACGGGGGAACAAGTAAACACTCATGCTGTCGGGATGATATGTGTGTGCTACCTGCGCATATGCAGCTGCGACATCGGTAACGTTTTTGCGCAGGCAATTACTGGGACGGTTTCGGAGGTAAAAGCCTAGCTCGGGGGTGCTTTTTTGCCTAGAGTGCTGACACTAGTCAGTCCAGACATACTCTG